ACAGGACTACTCACTCACAGCACACCGGTTTGACACCCAGAAGAGATGGGCGATGAGGGCCAAAGTCAACATCTGCTAACAGGTACCATCGTGTACAAGATAACGAAGGGATCCCTTTGCCAAAGCCGACCTTTCCGGGATGCACACTCTGACTGTGTTATGTGTTTATGGTATGCTTGTGCACAGGTTTCCCAGAAATTAAATCCTAAAAAAACCTGGAAAACCTTTAAGTTGTAGCAATGGCTAAACATTGATGTGTTAAAACTAGTCTCTTAAACCATTCTTTATTACTCAAAACAATTTTTTTCTCTGTTCAGACAAGAATATCCATACTTGATGTGCAATTAACAGGTACAAGAAAGTGAGAAGCTACGCCAAGTGGCACTTAGGAACTATACATTACTACAGAAAGTAAGTATTGCATCGATGTTTTGAAGAGTGCTTTGTGCAAAATGACTTATCTCTTTCAAGCTGGTTTGTTAACAAAATCCAATTTTGTTTATAAGGAAACAGTTTTTAATTTATAAGTCTAACGTAATTTAAAATGCTCAGGAGTTCAAAACTTATTAATCCCGTCTCAAAAATTCAGGTAGAAACATGAATCTAAGTCTAGTCAGTGATGATAACCTGGCACGTCTATGGATACAGCATGGCGTTTATTAAGGTTAATGGTAAAACTCCCATTGATTTCGATAGTGTAGAACCACATCCCATGGGAATTTCTTAGTTGGATATTTTTTACATCTGTTATTTTTGTGATCAGATACACAGCACTGTTTTTTGATAGGCTGCACAAATGTTCTTAAATCATCCATCAAGCAGATTATCTTTATAAATAAGGGCCTTAATAATAATTAGTAATATTTTAGATTTCTTCTAGGTTTGTGTAATTCTATCCTAAATACTTCGTTTTTCCATTGACCAACTGCTACTTTTACAGCCTTTCCTGAACATAAGTATTTTTCCAACAGTGGTTCAGAAAAAAAAAATTAAAGTACAATTTTGTTTCTAAAACATTTCACTAAACATTATTTTAAAAAATGAATTCTTGGTTTAAGTGATTAAACTTTTAAAAAGTTTCCGTGGGTGATGCTTTTAATCATAATTAAAAATTGTAATCATTAAACAAACACTGTGGTGCCTGTCTTCATGATGTAGTTGTTATATTGAATCTACCTGAGTCACTGCAAGGTTAATGGTAGAAATGTTTGCTTTATTCGAGTTTATTAGAGAAACTTGTCCCAGTGTAACTTCATTGTCTTAGTTTACTTCAGTGGAGTATGGGATTGGAAGGAATCACATGGATCATTCATTGAATTAAGCCTTCAGGAGTCACGAACATGGAGCAGATATTTAACCCAGAGCTACTGCAGACCATCCACATGTACAACGCATTACAAAATCTTTCTAGTGTTCTTTAAGATCTGCGGTGTTAAAACCAGACAAGCAAACAAAAAACCCCCCACATCTATAAGCTGCTACAGCATGACAGTAGGAGATGAATGCCCTGAGTTCCTGTGACAGGAAGGAATTTGACAGGCAAAATTCCCAGCTGATGTTAGGAAGAAGACCATGTCCAAGACCACAAAGGAGGACAAAAAGTCCTAAGTGTCTCTGACAAATTGACCAAGCAAAAACTCTTTGTGACTCCAAATCTGGTGATTAAGATTGAGAACAAGAAGACGGCACACTGATTTGGGAGAGACAAGTCCTACCAGAAGCACCAAACCATATTGTTCTGCATGCTCTCTATACCCCTTCCAGAGGAGATAAGAACGAAATGCACTCAGAAACCAAGTTTTTCAGAGGAAACAAAGGAAAAAAAATTAACCACCTTGGTTCTGCTGCACGATCAGCAGAGGTAATGAAGCATGGGATTTAAATGGTTTAAAAATATTGCAGAAAAAAACTAGCAGCCCAGTCTTCTTTCAAAGTCCCCTGGAGATTTCAGCCTCTCTCATATTTAAGGATTCATATCACAAGCTTAAATTCCATTCTCCTGATTTTCACATTTCATACAGCATAGTAGTGCTTCTCCTGGCTTATCAAGCACCACCATAAAACAATGCATAGTTTCTGTCTTCATCCTAGTTTGAGATTTCTCTGGTAGATAGAAGATTTTCCAACTTCTAGCCTTAACATATTGTGACCCACTGGCAGACATTTGTACTTGTATCAATACTATTCTTAAATTTAAATGATTTTTGTTATCTACATTACTTCATACGATAGAGATTCCGTTCTCTTGCTCACTGTAACAGCAGTTAGTATATAGCAGCTCTCAATGAAGTCAATGAAATCTGTGCATAAATAGTTTGTAATTGTACATTTTTGGGGGATTAAAATAGTGTCCGAGGCCTGATCTTGTCTATGTTTATAACTAACACCTCTAGCACACAGAACAGTCTGGGTTTTTTCGGTTATTCTGGATGAGGTGTTTCTTTGGCTGAAGCACAGACATGCACTTTTCCTATTTCGCTTGGCTGATGATTTCTTATCCGATACAAATACAATGTATTTTAAGGGGAAATCAACTGTGATCTACAACTGTAGCCAGTCAAATGGCTTGAAGTGTATTTATATAAAAATGTGAACATATTTCATTTTTTCTATTGAAATATAACTTGATAGAATTGAATTTATAAACAGTACCTGGGTTTTGTTATATCACTAATTTAAAAAACCTTTCCAAAAATCATGGGCAAAATCTTCCTCAATCATACTGTTCTAAATCTGAATTAATCTCAGGAAAGGTGAGTTAACACAGTGAGATGCCTTTGTTTTAAATTTCTGCACACTATGAGCTTACATATTTGTTAATGCATTTATCTGAAGCTGTCCAATTGGTTATATCTCCTAGTGTGATGTTATGTAGAAATGTGATACCACCATATATAAAGAAAAATAAAGATACAAATAGATATTTGATACACAGAATACTTATCACGTACATCTTTTTATTTCCCTTACAGCTACAGCATTGGCCACTACAGCATACAATGCATACTGCTGAATAATAAGGGGACGGGAATGGTTTTGCATCTCAAAGGCAAGTGCTATGTCACAACTTGCATCCCTACAGGAGATGTCATCTTGTGCTGAAAAGCGTGATTGCTGAAACGAAACTTGGAAGTGGTCCTTGACCCATCCTAACCCAACTGTACTGAGGCTCTGTCCTTGGGTTAGTGCTAGCTGGCCTAGCCCAAGATCACACCAGGAACCATGCTGATGACTTAACGGTATGGATGATCACTTGCTCGTTCTCAGGCCTGGGCCCAGGTCCTGACCAGTTTACGGTGATGGACATAGCCTAAGGCTTGGTCCAATCCTGCTACATCAACAAAGTCAATGTGGTCTCTCCAGTGAGAGTTAGACTTGGCCTTAGGCACATAGTTTTATTAACATTCAGGAAACTACAACATAAGCAAAAATAACCCCAAAGAAAAACAAAAAATAGAAACTTGAAAATGAAACATATGCTTGCAGATTCAGTGCAAAAGCAAACTGAAGCAGAAGTTGCTAATATGGTTTTAGTACTTTGTGAAGGTGCCAGCTGGATGGATGATAATTTTTCTACCCCTGCAGGGCATCAAAGCTTTTATAAAATCATTCTTTTCACACATATTAGCACTTAGCTTATTAAAACAGATGATACTTTTTTTTGTAAAGCTGGCTGGGAGTGTCTGGAAATATAAAATCTGAGAGATAAGTCTCATTGTGACCAGCCAGTCTAACAAACAACAAACACTGACATGACATACCATGGCTGAGAGTCTATGTTATGGGACCTTCTGTGACTGCCACAACTGTAGTGTCACAGTAAAGGCTGTGAATTGCTGTTATGAAAACATTTGCTGTAACTTGCATAATTAAATGAAACTGCCAGCAAAGCTTTCTAAAATACTTCGGAGATGACACACAAATAAATACATTTCAAAGTCTGTATTATGTTCCAGAATTTGTTTTGTAATAAATTGTGTTGCACAGTGCCAGAGATGACTGACTTCCCTGTCCAAATTCCTACATAATTATAAGTGACTGAGATCATTATCCTGTAAATTGATCCATGATTATAATAAAATAACTTTTATTTTAGACATATTTTACATGTGTAGTGCTCTGAATTTATACAGAAGGTACAGTTTCAGATGCCTACAGCTTCTCCTTCAGACAACTCGGAAAGGGACATACGAGACATAAATTAGTGGTCAGAACTTGAATGAGCAGAAATATGCTCAAGAGTGCTGCCAGCGGCCTTACAGGAGCAAAATTTTGGTAGAGCAGGTAATCATTCCTAACAAAAAGAGGAGAAATCGGGGCAAAGGAATGAGTGGAGGGAGGCTGCAGAAGCCAGTATCGAAGCTGAGGGAAATTATTGCGAAGATACAGGCTGGCTAGCAATGTGTGGGCCTTGAGGATGAGGACGCGGATTACTCTGAACTTGCAAAAGTGGGATTGGAATTTTGAAAACAAGTCATCAATTCAATAAATGTTTGGTCAACTTTAAGAAATTATAAGTCTTAAATGCAAAATCCATAAAACAGAATTGTAAAAGTCATTCCATGAAAGTACCAGTCAAACCCGTAAATGTACCTGGCATAACAGACTGCTCTCTGTATACGAGCAGGCAGTGATACGTACAAGTACTTTATTTAGGGAAATCAGGTCTGCAATGGAGTCCACAAACCACACCAATCCATTCTCTCCATTAACACATTCAAAATCAAAAGATGGAATAAAATTGGAGTACTCACAGTGGAAAATTGACTATTTCAAATAATAATCTTCTACCAATTTTATTTATGCCTTCTAGCACCTAAAAGTTTCATGCAGAAAATGTTTAACGAAAGGCTACCCTTGACAGCTGAAGATGGTAAATAAAAAGTAAAAGAAAAAATGATCAACAGGGAAGAACATCTGAACAGCTTGTTGAATATCATCAAAATGCAGCTTATCCCTTCTGATGTAGTAGTGATACCAACAAGCTTTTGCTTACTTACATCAAATAACTTCTCTATGTACATTTCCTCATTGACCTTTTCTCGAAGTATATCCTGGTTTTGTCGAACAAACATAATGTAGGTGTCTGCTAGATCCATCCCTGGTTTCTGTGGAGACATAAAGTAAGGGGAGAAAGTAGTGGTTTTCAGACCACTCAACAATTGAGACTTCTAAGAAGTTATACTTAAACATAAGGAAAACTGCGATTATGTTACAATGTTCACACATGTATAAACTCTGTTTACCAAATCTGCTGTGAATTCTGGGTTAGTTACCTAGTTCAGGAGGGTTGACTGTTAATAAAGTTCTCAGTGTTATAATTTATGGATGCTTTGAGTCATAAATCTACCTTGCCATATGTAATGGAATGAAGTCTTGGCTCTGGTAACATCAATGGCAAACTTGGACGTTTTCCCCTTTTTTGTTAGTGAGGGTCTCAAAGCTACTCCACCCTGAAGGTCCAGATCTTGCTATCACATTCAGAAAATGGTTAAAAAAAGCATTCAGTTCCTTTTTCATTGCCTCGGATTTGTTGCGATTTGCTTCCAACGTACAGCTGAATTTTGTGTTTGAGGTTAGCTTCTATTAATTCTGATTCAAACTGAGTTCAAGCATTTCTCTGAAAGCAACGGCATAAAAAGGTTGGTATCAGAGTAGACCTGCACTCCTGTTTTTCTGAAACGGTTGCATTGGCACAATCAGCTCAGAGGATGACTAGGGAAGGAGCAAGGGCTGAAACGTTTCCCTTCTCATACCGACCTATGTTCTGTACGAATAGCAGAGCAGGTGCAATTTTCATCCCCCACTCCCAAACATGGGACAGGCTAGGCTATCATCTCGTGTGTACGTGATACTGTGTCAGGCCAGGCAGAGCGGTGGCTGAAACTGCTCTCGCCTGCCCAACTGGGACTTCTGGACCTCTATAGCCACAAAATGTTCCATCCTAAAGCCCTGACAGCCTGCAACATCCCCTTTCCTGGCAGCACATGCAGAGTTGGTCAGGAGTTCACCTTTCTCTAACAGGAACCAAAAATGAATGTAAGCCTTTTGGAAAGTCTTCTGTAAACGCCCTCTGTGTGAACAAGTTTGTAAAAGTACCATTTGCTCCCAAATAATAGTTTTTGAAGTTCATGGCATGCAAAAGAAGAGGCATGCAAAAGGCTTACTGTAAAGTAAGCCTTGGCACAAGGCTATTTATAAAGGATTCAGATTTGGCTAAGACTGACTCTACAGAGTAATTAACAGCTCTAGGGAAGGAGGATGAAAGCGGTTATACCCAGTCCCTGAATTTCCAGGCATAAGTCATCTCTATTTCTCAGAAGCTGTTATTATCTGAAAGCAGCATATGTACAAATCTATAAGAGTAAAATATTTAGCATATTTTAAAGGCCTGTGTGCATAAACATGCTCATACAGTTATAATATTTACGTGTAGTTTTATATTAAGTCTTCCTTTCTAGTCTACAAGTGGATAACTTTAAATTTTTCTCATTTCTTATTATCTTGTATATAAGATAGTATAACATATATGAACATGTCTCAGCATAAGAGGGACGGAAAGGTGCAACATACCCAAACCAGTACCTGTCCAGAAACTGCCATCACAGTACTTGGATTGGGAGCATTCTCCCCTCAAAACTGCAGTGAATGAAACCTCCTGGATCATGCACTTCATCTTTTTTTTCCTGAATCTACCACAGACACATATAGGAATATGATCCAAAATAAGAAGATTTTCTTTTTCATTTATACACGTGCATGAATGGCAATTTCATTTCTTAAAAGTAACAGTTAAATGTGGAATGATGGTCTTTTGGCCATGATGGATGTGGTTTAACACCCCTAGCATCTCCAAAACTCACATGGAAAAACTGCAGTGTCTCCTGTACATTTGGACTGGTCATTCCAGAGACAATGAAAGCTCATTTCAAAAACTTATCACAAACATACATGCCTACAGGAAACTCTTAAGAGGAAAGCAGGACCATTTATAGTTATATCTGAGTTACACACTACTGATCCTAAGCATAGAAATAAAAATGTAAGATTATAATAGGTAAAACAGCTTTCTGTTGGAAAATCTGGTTCATGGAAATCAATAGATTTCCTTCATAAAAATGTGCCTTCATTAAAATGTGACAGAAATGTTTTTAAATTAAACTAAATCACAAAGTGAAGGAGAATTAAAACAGAAAGCTCCATATCTTACCTTCGTATACTCATTTGTGATGGTACAAAAGAATACAGCTAGTGTTGAAACCTTGTGTACTTTCTAAAACCTGATAGGCAATTTATAGGAATTGGACTAGTTTTGACTTGGAGGGATAATGGGAAACATTTTGAAATCTCCAGGGGTGGGTGAAGGATGTAATCTAACAAATGAAAGGTTGATTATAGTTCTTGGAGATACATATTCAAATGTATAAATCAATCTTCCATTGAATACTAAAACCTAATGGTTCTCCGATTCATGCAATTTTTTCTTTTACTAAGTTCAAAAAAATACGTTCATCCTGCAGACAGCCAAAGCTAGAAAAATAACATTTCCCATCAGCATTAACTCTCCCTTTATCTTTGAGATGTTTACCTAGTCTTGAAGCTGTGACATATGGGAATTTCACACCTAGTGAATATATTTTCATGTAGCTTGTGGCACAGGAGTGTAATCATTAAAAGAATATACACAAGTAAGAGTAACTGCAACAGCTGGTGACATTTACCAATTAGAATTACAGTTCTTTAAAACACTTCATCCTTCTTTAATGTGTGCAGGATAATTATCTTTGAAATTGCCGTGGAAAAAAAAAATTAATTTTCCTTTTAAACAGTGTCTGTCTACAGTAGAAATATGTCTGGGTAAGGAAGATTATCAATACTCCGAAAGTATGACTCTCTGTTTTAAAACCATACCAAAATCATTGCAAGTTAACCATCTTGGCTCATGGTGGCCAAAACACATATTAAACACTGAATGAACCAACAGTATATCAAATATTTCCTTATCTTTTCATATTACATGCATCGAATTTATTAGTTTTCTCCAAACATACGAAAGAAGAAAAGACAGCTATTATAAGCATCAAAACAGGCTTAATGCTACATATTTAATGTTTTAACGTTTTTAAAACAGGGATTGTGTCTTAGATGGGAACCTCTGATTACATGATCCTCACTTGCTTCATTTTGGATTATTAAACTTCAGAAAAGAAACTAGGCTAATGTACAGTAAAAAAACCCAAACAACAATTGAGCGATTGAAGCATCTTAAAAGACAAACAAATAGAAACTGAGATATGTTTTAAGTAACTGTCACAGTGGGCATTTCATCACTAATATCAGACAGACTTAAGCAACTCAGTCTCCACATCTATGCCCAATATAAAAAATTCTGCCCCTCTGAATCTCTGGCAGAACATCTGCTGAAGTTAATGGGAGAGAGTTATTTGCACATCTTTGTCAGAAGAATTTAACCTGTATATTTATCTGGATAAGAGCAAAAAAAGGTATTCTGTCTGAAAATTTCCCCAAGAAAAAAAAGTGGTTTTTTTATGACAGATAAAAAGTTGTTGTAGGTTTGTTTTATTCAGAACAGCAGACAAGATGTTTTGCCTATCTGAAAATGAAAGAGAACCAAACAAAGAGATGAATGGAGAAACTGGAAGCACAAAGACATCAAATAAAATACCAGGAAATGAAGAGTTGTAAATAGGGTTACTTTGTCGCTGGTTACACAAGTAACTGAATACACCGGCAAGTGAATGAGTTTAAACAAGGGTGTAGGCTTCAGCACATTCTTTTTTAGGGTTAATCACTAGTTAACCTGGCAAGATGAACATGCTGTTTGAGAAAAAAAAAAAAAAATCCTTGTTAATTATATACTGCAAGTGCTCTTACTTCCTGCTGCTGCACCTAATCCCACAGGTGCAGGTTGTCTCTTTTGCTATTCACTGGTAGGTGGGTCCAGATCCACAGGCACTTTTTCATAGCAACACATTCAGATAAAGAAGAAACAGCTTAACTTTGCCCCTTTCAACAGGAAAACACTATCATAGCGTCTGCTTAACAAGGAGGCAAATTTTAAAATACATTATTCCAGTTTCCCAGATGATGTAGCAGCTGTATTATGATCGACACGCATTGCTCCCACTGGCAAAATTTGCCTGAGGCATCTAGTCAAAAGTAATGCTGCATTGCCTTGACTTCCAGGCATTCATATATTTTGCTGCTGAAAGGTTTGCAACAAGCTTAATACTGCCGCTAACATTAGGCTTTTCCTACAGGAGAGATACACCTGTTTGTGCACAACTTTTCGCAATGCAACAGTTTGTTACAAACCTCAATAAAAACTGTGCACATTTGTAAATACTTGAGTTATGCTTATTCTCACTTTGGCATTTGTCACAGAACATTTCTTAGCATCAGAGAGTATGACACAAACTTGTATTCTTGATCTTACCAAGAAAAAAAATCCTAGTTTTACGAGCCACTATCCTGTCAAAGCATTAATGAGACCAGATGTTAGAGACTAACTATATAATAACAAACTTCATCCCATTTTGTGTTTGCTCTCCTCTCCACCCCCTTCCCCTCCCCTGCATCCTGGAGGGAGACGTTTTAACTACAGCGTGGATGTAACAATGAAATGAAAGGAGTGATGAGCTGGAGGGGGCTATTGTGAGAAACACAGGAGCTCCTTATTCAGTGTCCACCCCCAAATGAAAGAGCACGTTGGAAAATTTCACTGCCTGAAATTTCGCCTCTAAATACTGCAAGGCTCATCACTTGGGCTTTGGAATGACAGAATTAAAATATCGTTAAAATATTTTTGGAATAGAAACTACTTGTACTCGTGACAAGATCCTCGCTTCCTTCATTTCTTACACATCAAAATACATAAGCCAGGCAGGAAGATGCATCATTTGTATAATCAGTCTATTGTAAAAGCACCATTTTATTCTCACAGGGTTATGAAAAATGATATTTCGCTTAAATGAAAAAATACAAGGCATTTTCCCTGCCTCTAAAACATCTTGTTGTAGAAGAAAAAGCAATCTTGGCGAAGGCTAAACGTCTGTATTTTGAGAACTGTCATGCAGAACTTCAGCTGTGATTCTGCAAGCATTTACACAAACACTTTTTCATAGATGTGTAGTTTCATTGCATTCACGGGGCAACACAGGCGTGCAAGTGTCTGCACCAGGATCTTGATTCCGTAGTGCAAAAGGTCTTCAAAATGCTACAGTTCCTATGACAAAATCAGGTATTAAAATATGCTTTTTTCCCCCTAAAACACTATGTTCTACTATGTTCTTTTAGCTTTCCTACTGATTAGCAGCTGTCCTTCTGATCTCCATTTAAGAGGTATCTCAAAAATACTGTTGACTTAAAACAGACGATGCAGGGCTTTCCCTCCAATTCTGCAATAGTTTGTGTTTATGGAACTGAAACTAGAAGGGCCAGTTCCCAGCTTGCGATATACAGAGGAGGAGGAGGAGGAAGGCAGGAGAAGCCCTAAGCATGAGGATAATGACTGTTCTGCACTCTTTATTTTTAAACAGAGGTCTCCCAAGTAAATCCTGCTTAAAAATGAATGGCACAGTATGGCCACATCTGAATGAACACTGATTTCCCAGAAAAAGTCGCTTGCTTCTTAAAACCAGCTAAATGAGGCCACGTAGGATAAGTGTGATACTTGGAGATGGAGGTATCTGGAAGGTCCCAATATGTATCAGCCTGGTAGGAGGCAGAGTTCCTACTTTGGCCTCTACGGGACCCCATAAGTCAAACGCTGGCACATGTGTGAGGCCCCTTTTCATACTTTTGATCCCCGCATAAAGGCAAGAGCGGAGCGAGAGGCCTGGCTTTGTGCGCGCTGCGCGCTGCCGTCAGCCCCGGGGCCTTCCGATGGCCTCTCCGCACTTGGTATGACAGGTGGCCTACATGAAGTGAGGGAGGATTAGGTTCCTTCTGTGCCCTCTCAATGACTGGCATAGATTACCGGCTCCTACAAAGGGATTTAAACATACCTTTCCGAACAAAAAAGCAGTATATACATATGCATGTAACTGGATGCTCAATTTGTATGAGTAATTGCTCTGGCTATATTTGTAAATGAAGCAAACGTGTGTAGAAATGACCAGTTAGAGACACAATTACTTGTGTGCAAAACTGACTTACATGATGAGAAACTGAACACAATGACACTATCTATGTGCTTGAGGAAAATAATCATTTGAGAATAACAATGTACATTTTTTGCCCTCAATTCTGCTGC